CTGACACCAAAAGTTCCAAACCCCTCAGCTCTGGAACTGTTATAGCTAGAGGTCTGACATTTTCTGCATTTGTGGTCGACATGATGTAGAGCAAATATAACACAATAAATCCTGCTTTTTCTCAAGAATGTCTTTGTTACTGCTGTTTAAAAAAATACCTATAATTTCCGAGAATAAAAAACCCCAATGTTGAGTCATGTTTGAACTGATACAGGTTGGTCTGTGTTCTAGTCCAGTGTTTTTCAACCCTGGTCCTCAAGGCTCACTGCTCTGCATGTTTTGGACCTTTCTGAGCTTCAGCACACCTGATTCAGATGATTGCAATTTACCAAAGCCTGATAATCTGCTATCAATTGATCACAGGTGTGTGAAAGCTGGGAAACATCTAAAACATGCAGGGCAGGGTGCCTTGAAGACCAGGGTTGAAAAACACTGTTCTAGTCAACCAATTTGAATTTATATATTAGGAAACTAGAGGGTGTTAGCTTTCAAATAATGTATTGCTTATGTAATTTGGGCTTACAGTTCCTGAGTTATTTGGTTTTCCATTTGGGTATGCAAAATAGACGAGGATTACCCAAAATGAGGTGGATGTTAAGAGGTTAACTATCTATCTTGCACATCTAAAAAATATATATTTATATATAATTTTAAATATATGTAAATATATGTAGATCTGTAAATATATGTAAATATATAAAACATCTAAAAATATGTCTTAATCAGGGTCATTGGGTGGGTGGGACTGCTCTATTCTCTAGCAAACATTGTTCTGCTGTTTGTGTTCTTCTCAGAGAACTAAGTTTTGCAGAAACCCCAAGAGCTCCTGTACTTCCTGTCAAAATATTGGCAGGTTATTTGGAGACCTCTTTGAATATCTCACAGTGTTCAATTTTGATGAGCTTCCTTAAGGAGCCATTCAAATGTCCTCCGTCTGTAAATTATTTTCCATCCACTGTTGAGAAAATATTTCTGACACCTTAAGTCTCTTTTAGACTCATAATTTGGCAGGATGATGTTTTTCCTGAAAGCCTCAGGCAGCTCTATAGATCTCACCATGGCGTTCAATCTCAGCCCAACAGTTGGGAGCACAACAAACTAAATGTCTGAGGTTTAAACAGGGAAATCCTCCTTCAAAAGATGAGTAATGATGTTCTAATCGTCTGTGTGGGATTTTAGCCACTTAAAGAGCGAATAATAATAAATGAGGAGGTGTTTGAATTTACCTTTAATCAGAAAATACCTTTTTTTTTTCTCCTGTTTTGCAGAAAAATCTTCAAATCTTCAGTTTTTACATTAATGTTTAAGATTATTTTGAATTTGATTGTCCAAAAATGTTATAAAAACATTAGGCAGGGGAATTTATTCTTCAAATTCATTCATTTTATATATTTATTTATAATTGAAATTATCCGTCTCATCATCATACGCTCGTGTCAGTGGCGATGCTCGGTGTCTGTCCCCATTTTCTTTCTGGTCACAAACTGTGAGACACATGGCTGGAGCGAGGCTCAGCGAGGTCACCGCATCATCATTTGTTTTCCGCCGGCACGCTCCGCTATTGATTCTGACATAAACGCTCAAGGCAAATGTCGGCCGCGTTTACCCTGATTAATTAAAAAGTCCCTCACGTCACGCCGCCTCTAGGTGTGTGCTCTTTCTACCACTACCAGCAGAGAAACCAGAAATCATTTGCATGCAGCTCGGTTTACAGCGACGGAGAAAAATGTCTGAACTTTCCCATCACATTCAGAGCTGTCGCTCCGAGTGTTTTACCCTTTTTTTTGCTGCACTTTAACAATGACTTCATAATTATAGGATGATTTATCAGAAGGGGCCACTGACTCAGCTGTTTTGGACCAGTAGAGCTTTGGAAAGCCTAGCATCGATTGAGGGAAACTTCCTAGAGATAACGGCGTTTGCCCATAATTAGAAAATAAGCGGGTAATGCTGAGGGCCGGCCTCTTTTATAAGGACTGGTTTCATTATTTCCAGTCATCCAGAACTGCATGGTGCCTCCACTGTAGAAGGTAAAACACTATATTTAGCAAAGCGCTGGAGGTAGGATCAGGCTGCTTGTGGCATTCTTTTCCGTGGTAACATATAATTGTCTGCTAGGTTTTATCTACAATGCAGAGAGCAAATAAAAGCTCTAGAAGCCATAAAAGGCAAACACTTTAGCCGTCTGTCATCTGCACCCTTTGCACAGAAAAGGCAGATAAGACATTATCATAGATTGAGTTTATTTGCGTTTATGGCTGGAAAAGCGTGCATGGATGCTGCTGTCACTGTACACTCTATCAAAGCTAGCGGAGCTGCAGATAATTGAGCATCAGCTCCTTCTTGCAATTATAATCCGACTTCTCTTAGATGGTTTGTGTCTCACCTGGTAATTTGTTTATAAAATAAGTTTCTACATTTGAATACAGCTTTCTTTATTAACTCACCTTGTCTTGCAACCTTTTCCAGTGCTTTCTACCTGTTTTTTGTGTGCTGTTATTGATCAGTTTTTTTGTATTTTCTCTCTGCATTTATTCTGTAACTTTTGTTTTATTATGTCCTTCTCATGTGTGCAACCGTTTTAATATTAAACTCTTCCTTTGTAATCACTGAAGCCTTGAAAATGAGAAATTAGCAGATAACCTTTCAGTGCAGCTTTCATATCTACCTTTTCAAGGAAAGGCCTTGGACTTTTTGTAAATGCTATCTAAAGCTGTCTTAAATCATGAAGTCTGAATAAATAGTTGCCTAAATAAACATTCCATATACTTTTCTCTGTTAAGGTTTGGGTATAATCTATTGTTAGGTAGGTAGATATATAGGATTCCACACAAACAGATTAAGCTCTTTAGCCCATGGTTAGATTATTTTCAGAAATAAGCTTCATAGAAACAAAATCACAGGATTTGTTATAAATAATGAACATTTGTTCCTAACTTAAAGCAAAAATTAACAAAAAACTCCAGATAAATGCACAGAACAATCAAACTAAGAAGGTCCAGGAGGGGATTGGTGCGTCAAGAAAGAGTTAAATTTTAAGTTGAATATTCCACTTTTAAACATGCTTGGGTTTTATTTTTCAGTGTAAAGAGCTTTATCTGAAATCTATGCCGTAAAGTTGGAATAATGGGGATCTTATCAGAGGAAGGGAGTCTGTTTCATGGTTGCTTTGAAGTCTTCAACCGCCAGACCTTCTAAGACTCTGTCCCGTTCAGGAATGTTCATTGATTCATGGTTTCCTGTCCGAGGGACGATTTCATCTTCTGTGTTTCCAACTACATCCCAAGACACAAGCATTAAATGGTAGTGTCTGTCTCCTACACTCCTGATCAAAATCTTAAGACCAGTCAAAAAAATTGCAAGAATTTGCATGTTCTAAGTAGAGCTTCACACTGTTAAAAGAAGAAATCAGTGTAAGGGAATTAATTGAAAACTGCATTTACACTCAAACATGATTTCTTTCAGCTGATCAAAAGTTTAAGATCATAGCTCAAAAAAACCCGAAAACCCCCCAAAATAGAAATCCAACTTAAGTGTCAAAAAAAGGACTCATTAACGAGTAGCTCCACCATTCTTGTTGATGACTTCAAACAATGGTTTAGGCATGCTTGATGCCAGTGTTTCCAGGAGGCTAGTGGGAACGTTGCTCTAAGTGTTGAAGATGGCTTCAGGAAGGGCATCCACAGTCTGGAACTGATGTCCATTTTTGTAAACTTCCCTTGCCATCCATCCCCAAATGTTCTCAATTGGGTTTAGATCCGGGGAACATGCAGGATGGTCCAAAAGAGTGATGATGTTCTCTTGGAAGAACTCCTTTGTCAGGCGGGCATTGTGAACTGCAGCATTGTCCTGTTGAAAAACCCAATCGTTACCACACAGACAAGGGCCCTCAGTCATGAGGGATGCCCGCTGCAACATCTCCGCAAAGCCAGCTGCTGTTTGATGCCCCTGCACAACCTGAAGCTCCATTGTTCCATTGAAGGAAAACGCAATCCAAATCATGATGGCATCTCAGGTGGGATCTCCTTGTCATGGCAGTAACGTTGGAAGCCATCAGGACCATCAAGGTTACATTTTTTCTCATCAGAGAAGACAACTTTCTTCCACCTTTCAATGTCCCATGTTTGATGCACCCTTGCAAAGTACAAACGGGCAATTTTGTGGCGTTGAATAAGACGTTTTTTGTTTCTGAAGCCCTTCTCTCGCAGATGCCCTCTGATGGTTATTGGGCTGCAGTCAGCGCCAGTAATGGCCTTAATTTGGGTAGAGGTTTGTCCTGTGTCTTGATGGACAGCCAATCGGATCCTGCAGCTCAGAGCTGGTGACATTTTTTTGGGTCTACCACAACTAAAAAATGCAAAATGACCATCTTACTGCGTCCAACCTCAGCAGCGATCGCACGTTGTGAGAGGCCTTGCTTATGCAACTCAACAATCCTACCACGTTAGAGTCAGTGTGCTTTTTTGCATTTGCCATCAGGAGGTTTTGACAGAAAATGACATGGTATCCAGATTTTTGCACAGCTTTTGGCTTTTAAAGACCATGGTCCTAAACTTTTGATCAGCTGAAAAAATAACGTTTGAGTGTAAATTCAGTTTTCTGAAAATTCCCTGCTCAAAAGTTCTTGTCTCTCACACTGATTTTGTTCCTTTAACATTGTGAAGCTCTACTTTGAACCTTCTTAAGATCCAATCGTGCAAAAAATGCTAATTCTTGCAATTTTTTGACCAGTCTTAAGATTTTGATCAGGAGTGAATACCCGTTTTATCCCCTAATGCATTACTTACTCAGCTGTTTTAAATTCTGTCTGTTAGGCTAGTTTCCACCTATAGTCTTTGGTATGTTTATGTTCCATAAAGTGCAGGACAAAACAAGTGAGGAAAAAAAAGTAAGTCAACAACATCTAAGCAGCAAGTTTTCCGTATTATCAAGCGTTAAACAAGAAGGAAAGTTTTGGACAATTCATTAAATGTCCTTTTTACTTTGACTATGTCTTTTAGGGGATGTCATCGTCTACATTAATGATGTCTGCGTTCTGGGAACGACCCACGCCGACGTGGTGAAACTCTTTCAGTCCGTTCCCATCGGTCAAAGCGTGACACTGGTGTTGTGCCGCGGCTACCCTTTACCGTACGACCCAGAGGACGCCGCCAACACCAACAACACCACCACCATCATCTCCCCGCTGGGCATAATGGAGCAGCGGCCCATCATGGTGAACGGCAGGACGGGCTATGATAACTACCTGGACTACCTGGCCCGCACAGCGCGCTTCGTCACAGACCCCAGTCAGGATCACGTGAACTCCCAGCAGCAGCCGCTTCTCACTGCCCACCCAGGCGACACCCACCTGGACGGCTCGCTCCAAGCCAACACTGGCACCACGCCGCCTGACAGCGTCTCCATGGCGTCATCAGGAGCCACGCAGGGGGAGCTGCTGACTGTGACCATGGTGAAGGGCGTGGACGGGTTCGGCTTCACGATCGCAGATAGCCTAACGGGTCAGCGCGTCAAGCAGATCCTGGGACCTCAAGGCTGTCCGGGCCTGTGCGAAGGTGACCTGATCTTGGAGATAAACAAGCAGCCCGTGGCGGGATTCAACCACACGCAGGTGGTGGAGCTGCTCAAGGAGTGCGCCGTGGGAGCAGAGGCCAGCCTGGTGGTCCAGAGAGGAGGCTCAGGTAAGACCAGAAGATTGCTTTTTATGAGGAGCCAGATGTGTGATTGGAAGTGTTTCAGTTCATTGGAATCAATGACTGAGTTCTGCAATGACCAACAGAGACTGGCTGTCAGAAAGGTCCCTCTTCTCTGTGAGGTCATATGATGATTCCTTTTTGATATTTTTCATTTGATGGTCGTTTTTTTGTTTTTATCTTCAAACCCAAATGTCCAAAAAACATATTGGAGGGTTTTCTTTTGAGGTTTTCATCTAAATGAAATTCAAGCCTTTCATCCATTTTGCTTTCATACAATTAAAATTAGCTCCTGTGCTCAGTCCCATGCACCGCTGTAGGCTGTTATCTGCAGAATCTCCTGGTATCTGGCTGTTGTTGGCTTTCTGAGTGTTTGATACGACGGGTGACCTTGTAAGATGCGTGTGTTAAGACGTCTTTAAAGTCAGTAGCTGTCAGTGAGCTTCAGCCTACTGTCAGCGTCACTGATGGTGAATGTAAAGGATCAAACAAAGAAGAACATGTTGTTTCAAAGTCACGGTTTTTGCGAAGTTAGAAATGAGACTATGACGGATATTTATTTATCAACCTTGTGGATAAAGTGACACGTATTCTGTATTAGTCTGCTGAAAATGTATCTTTTCAGAGGTAATGGGGGGAAAAAACAGAGAAAGAGCTCAAATAGTGGAGTATATCAGGTGTGCCGAACCTAATATTAATAGTTTTATGGAACACCTTCTTGTTCATTCTCAGCATTCAGGATGAAGAGTTTAAAACTGCCATTATTAGTTAATGTCAACAACAAAGAGAGATTTAATTTTAGCTGTGCTACTATGAATTTTCTGACATTTGCTTACTTAATCCTTTTGTTTAAACTCGTTTTCTAAAAAAGAGGTATAAAGTAATAAATCTACAACAAAGGTGTCAATCAGGAGAAGGTAAAAAAAACCTAGTTTAGTTAAAATATGTAATTGGGAAGGCAAACATCAATAGAAGAACAAAGAAATGAAACGGCAGTTAAGTCACATGAAATGACATTATGCAAAAATGGTCAGTAATAATTTTCTTCCACAGGACGTCAGCATGTGGCCACCAAGGGGGTCAAAGTCCTGCTAATGCATAAAACTGCAGGAAATATAGAAAGTACTGCAAACACAAAAGTACTTGCACGCAAGGGTTAATGCATATTTTTATGTTGCATGTGTGCATAATATGGAGGACCAACTCTGCCATATTTAAAAATACATACAGAAATAAATAAATGCTCAATAAATAAATAAGCATACAACTAATTGCCAACAAAAATACAAACAAATAAATATAAGTAGAAATTAAATTATAAAGTGAGACATAAATGTATATAACTCTTTTAAATAGCTTCTTTATTTATTTGCCTTTGTAATATTTACCTTATTTATTTTTTTGTCGCCATCATAGCCAGCGGTCCTTCACGCACAGCTATGCTGAGAGAGGGCCGCTGCAGACGGGCTGCCATCAGGTTCGGAGCTCCGCTGGTTGCCGCGGTCCTCAAGTTCGGAACAGTTTCTTTTAAATTACGCATTAAATCTGTGAATGGGCCATATGGTGATGCTTAAAAGTATAATGTTCTCGCCTCAAATAATCTTAAAACGTACTTTTATTGAACAACAGCAACAGAAAAGAGAACTTATATTACACTTAGTACTCTAAGCTCTGTGAGTTAAGAAGATGGACCGCCAAGCCAACCAATGAGCAGAAGTTGACTCTCTAGGACACACCCCCTCCTCATTTGCATAATGAGATAGAAATGCATACAGAAATGTAAAAAGGGCAGACAGACATAAACAGCAGCGAAGAAATAACTAAGGTAAAAAAATACAAAGGAAGAATAAAACAGACAAAGATATTATAACATGCACATAAATAAATACTTAAAAATATAAGTAATTAAAAAATGAAGTTGAAGATTATAAAGGACAAAAAAATAAATAAGGTAAATATTACAAAGGCAAATAAATAAAAAAGTTAATTAAAAGAGTTATATACATTTATGTCTCACTTTATAATTTCATTTCTACTTACATTTATTTGTTTATTTTATTTTTGTTGGCAATTAATTGTATGCTTATTTATTTATTGAGCATTTATTTATTTCTGTGTTTATTTTTAAATATGGCAGTGTTGGTCCTCCATATAATGCACACATGCAACATAAAAATACTGGAAGTACTAAGAACAGCTGGAAGGTATGAAAAAGCTGCTCCAAACCAGTTTGGCCACAGTTATAAATATTTATGGATCCAGATCAGAAACATTAATGCCTTTGGATGAGACCCTTTGTAAAAACATTAGATTTTTTTTCTTGCAGCTGTTTTTCTACTTGCAGCGTTTTTCCTTTAATTGGTAATATTTGCATTGTTCTGTGACTGTAATATTTCTCTTTGCATGCATTTTGTGCATATATCTTATTTTTGTATTTTCAAATTCCTGATTTTATGTTTCCTGTACTGTTTTATATTTGTTGTGGGTTCATATATTTGCAGTACATTTGCACCTCTCTGCCACTGTAGCAACATCAAGCTGCAGGGATTTCTCAGTCCCCGCCCCCCCTGCCTGCAGTCTCCGCGAGCCACAGCTCCGCTTTTGTTTTGTTTTTATTTTAATAAACCTTTTGAACTTTCCTACTGACTGTCTCTCCTGAATACTGGGTCCATCTGTCCGCGATTCATGACAGACAGTCAGTAGGAAAGTTCGAAAGGTTTATTAAAATAAAAACAAAACAAAAGCGGAGCTGTGGCTCGCGGACACTGCAGGCAGGGGGGGCGGGGCACCGCCCAATCTCAGACACTCTAGGGAGGAAACACAGGTAAGTGACCACAATCAACCAATAGAAGATTAACTGTGTCGGTCACTTACCTGGTTTAACAGTCCAGACCACAAGTGTCCCAGTGCTGCAGTCCCAGAGGTGATGGTGGAAGCTGATCCTGGTCAGGGATCCAGAACAGACAGGAACAGACAGAAACAGGCAGGATCCAGATCAGGCAGGAACAGAGACAGGTGGCAGGATCCAGACTTCCAGGCATCCACAGGCTTCCAGGAGGGTTCAGAGTCTTACTGGGACCAGAAGCATGACCAGTTGGTGACGCACAGGAGCAGACAGGATCAGGTGCAGACAGGCAGGCTCAGTGGAAGAGGGTAGCCGAGACAGGACGTGGAACCTGAACTTGAAGCAGACTTTAAACTGGTCTCCACCCAGGAGCCAGGCTTACTTAGATGAAAAACTGAACCTCCCCCCATAATGAGCCAAAAACCCAGAGGACTCCGCAGGGGAGGAACAGTGGACGATCAGGAGACGAGACAAACACTAAAACCCTCTTTCCACTGGCAGCTAGGATCCAGGACATGAACCAAATAAAAACTGAACAGAAAGACTGACAGAAAGACAAGCAATGATCTGGCACTGAATGCTCAGGCTGAACTGAATATAAACCACAGGAAACAGGTGAGAGGAATTAATTATAATGAGGCAGGGAGGGAAGAGGGCAGGTGAAAGGAATTACTAATTAAGGGAGAGCAAACAGGCCAGATCATGACAGTAAAACACGGCAGGCAGAATCATCCATCAGGGTTCCTTTTCCCTGGGTTCTGCTGAGGTGGCCGAACCATAAAAATAGTTTCAGAAAGGTCTATTTAATTATTTATAAATCAAGGTGCATGAAATTATCACTGATTCCTAAAACCCATCAGGTTTGGCCTAAACCATTATGCAGGAAAAAAAATAGATTTCAGTTTCCTGTATCTGTCACGATTTGGTTATGATTAGTTGACCCAAAAGCAGAGGCAGGGAGGCAGAGGTGAATCTCTTGTGGATTTAATAATGACTTAACAGAAAACAGAGGCAGGTTATCCAAAAATCCAAAAAGAAAACAAAGTCCAAAAAAACATGAAACCAGGAGTCCAAAAATCAAAAAATCAAAAACATGAAAACTAGTCTAAAAGTACCAGAAACCATGGAGACATCAGGGGAATCACGATCATAAGGAGGAAGCCTCAGAGAGAAGGAGTTGGAGAATGTTAGACGGTGTTTGACGAGGACCCAGCAAAGGGGAACTTCTTCTTCTTCTTCTTGTTGTGTTTATTGGCGGTTGGCAACAAACTTAATAGTAGCATTACCGCCACTTACTGGTATGGAGTGTGGCTCTCGTTGGTCTAACGCTCTTTTTGTATATATATATCTATATATACTCATACATACACCTACCAACCCACACAAACAAACTTACATCCATATTTATATTCTACTCATCACTATCATCCACACATTCACTCTTATGTCTACTCTATCAAATTCTACTGAATATCTTAGTTTTCTTTAAGAATCTAATAACTATTTGTATATGTTTGCTCTCCAAACTTTCCCTCAAAATATCTATTAACATAAATTTTACCTTAATACTTTCAAACTCTTTTATCATACATCTTCTCTCTCTTTCATATTTATCACATTCTAGAATAACATGTTCTACTGTTTCCCATTCTCCACAATATTCACATTTACCAGTTGCATGTTTTTGAATTTTAAAAAGTGAGTAGTTAAGTCCAGTATGCCCAAATCTTATCCTGGTTATCACTCTTTCCTCTTTTCTATTTCTTTTTCCCTTTCTTCTTTCTTTAACCTTCTTCTGAATTTTATAAAACCATCTTCCTGTTATTTCTTCATCCCACCTTTTCTGCCACTTTTCCATCAGTTTTTCCTTAACCATACTCTTTCCTTCAGCTTTACTTGTTTTAACTTTAATGCTAATTGGTTTTTGAATTGCCCCTTTTGCTATTTTATCTGCTCTCTCATTTCCTTCTATTCCAATATGCGCTGGAACCCATACAAAAATAACTATCACACCCATATTTTTAATTCTATATAATGTGTGAAAAATTTCTAATAATATGTCCATTCTACTATCCGATTGCTTGTTTTTAATACTTAATAATGCAGAACTTGAATCTGAACAGATTATTGTTTTTAATGGTTT